GACCGGAGGACACACAGACAGGTTGTCTTCTGACACCATCACAACCCACCTACACCGGGAAGAGGCGGTGAGAGAAATACAGATGGAGGAAGCACGCATATTCGAAAACCACAATGTTTCACACTGGAAATAAGCCAGAGGGAGTAAGTGAGAGACAGACTAAAGTCCTAAGGATGAGATTAATGTCAGAGGCTGAAGCTACATGGGACATAAAATATCATGATGTCAGCTGGAGGGAAATTCCCCCTGGCAAAGGGAGAGGGAATTGTTTGGTTTCAGGTGACACTGCTGCGCTTCTGTTAAGCCGAGAACACACAAGAGGGTTGTTTTTTTAAACCCTAACCAACAGAGGAAACAGCACATATTAGCAATACAGTAGATCTCAGATCATATTTGTGTTTCAAAATACAGGATCCCTTCCAGATGTTTCCAAATTCTAGTCATAAAAATCAAACATGTTTCATATAAACATTTGACTCTGACTGGTCCGGTGGCAAGACATGAATCCTAAACTGCTGGTAACCGTCCCTATTTTTTTCCACCCAGTACTGCAGGGACATTACATAATTACACTAAAACACATGTGTCCCTGGCTTAAAGCTGCACTAATCAATATTTTTATATCAACAATAGATCAAATTAATATGTCAGTGTGAAAGGGGTCACTTGTAAGGAATGAACCAACAGAGAATTATCAAACTGTGCTGTTCCCCTCAGCTTTATGGTGCATTTTAACATCTTTCAGCTCATTATTTTGGTTGTAACTTAACTGGTGTGGATCACTTTCATCGTTGTCATCAAGCGTGCTTTCTGAGGCAGCTGTTTTAAGTAACAAAGCTCTAAGAACTGACAGTTAACTGCCTGCCCAACACAAAACAGCACATAGACAAGTTAGCAACTACCTGGTGAACATAGTGGAGCATTTAGCAGCTAAAGAGCAAGATATTTTTCTCTAGAGTTGGTTCAACCTGCTGAATCAACCAAAAATAAGCGACAAGGGCCAATCAATGCCAATGGTGCAGGAAACACTGCAGAAACTAGGGCACTCACTGATGGCCCAACACTGTCCAACATCCGACCATTGGCTTGGTGTGTTAGGACCCTTTGATATATAGACTTTATGGTGGTATACACTCACCGACCACTTTGGTAGGTACACCTTGCGAGTACCAGGTTGGACCCCTTTTGCCTTCGGAGCTGTCCTAATTCTTGGTGGCATAGATTCAACAAGGTGCTGGAAACATTCCTCACAGATTTTGGTCCATATTGAATCATAGCAACATTGGTACTAAGGGGCCCAAAGTGTGCCACGAAAATCTCCCCCACACCATTACACCACCACCAGCAGCCTGAACTGTTGATAAAAGGCAGGATGGATCCATGCTTTCATGTTCTGACCCTAATATCTGAATGTGGCAGCAGAAATCCAGACTCATCAGACCAGGCAACATTTTCCAGTCTTCTATTGTCCAGTTTTGGTGAGCCTGTGTGAATTGTAGCCTCAGTTTCCTGTTGTTAGCTGACAGGAGTGGCACCTGGTGTGGTCTTCTGCTGCTGTAGCCCATCTGCTTCAAGGTTCGATGTGTTGTTGGTTCAGAGATGGTCTTCTGCAGACCTTGGTTATAACAAGTGGTTATTTGAGTTACTGTTGCCTTTCTATCATCTTGAACCAGTCTGGCCATTCTCCTCTGACCTCTGGCATCAACAAGGCCTATTATCCCAGAGAACTGCCGCTCACTGGGTTTTTCCTCTTCTGGTACCATCCTCTGTAAACCCTAGAGATGGTTGGGTGTGAGAATCCCAGTAGATCAGCAGTTTCTGGCACCAACAACCATGCCACGTTGAAAGTCACTTAAATCACCTTTCTTCCCCATTCTGATGCTCCATTTGAACTTCAGCAGGTCGTCTTGACCATGTCTACATACCTGAATGTATTGAGTTGCCACAACATGATTGGCTGATTAGCCGGTGAGTGTATGTCAAAGTTGTGTTCACAGCTTGTTCCATTGCCCCTAATTGGCCAAAAATGTTGCTCCTCATTGACATATTTGTCCATGACAGTTTGCACACTCAACCAGGTCAAGGAATCAAGCTCAACTTGAAACAGACAAAAATCTTGTTGCACCTTTGCAAACAATGTCACAGCCTCTCACCTGCAAAGCCTTGAGGCTGCACAGTCACCTGCACTGTCTGCCAGTAGAGGCTCTGCATGCTCCAATAACACTGGACTGGGCCACGGGGGATGGAAAGAGTTCAGACCTCTACAGCAAACCATCCAGAAACACAAGGGGCCACTGTGTTACAGAGAGAAAGCGAGAACATGCAGGGAGAGGCTGCAAAAACAAGCACAAGGCTTTTCTCATCTGTTACTTACAGAAAAATGTCAAAAATTCAGTCAGTCAGTCAGGGAAGTTAATCACAGTAAGAAACAGAGACAGAGAGTTGGAGGGCAACAAGGAGCGAGCTTAAAGGTGAGTCTTTTTTTTCTCAACCTCCCAGCAAGCCGACCTTACTTTGTTTCCTTTGGGCTAAACTCCCTTTATGTGTGGGAGTACATGTGTGCCCAAAGGTCTCTGGCTTGTTACCGTGTAACAGACTCTCCATCCAACAAAGAGACAGAGACAAAGAAAGAATGACACCCCAGACCATGAGAATGTAAAGAGAGGAGGAGGGAAAAAGACTAACCACAAGCCCTGAGTCCTAAAGGATGAGATGGTGACACAGACAGACATATACCATATATGTAGGGAGAGCAAGCGAGAAAAAGAACCCTCACACATCCCTGAGAGCCTAATTGAAACCAGACATTGCCGCAGAAAAAGGAGGAGAGGCGAGAGGGGAAAAAGTTAAAGAGAAAATGACACTGTTTTTTTTTTTACAGAGGGTCAAAGGGTGTGAACTCACGCAAACAAACATGAGCCAAATTTGTGCCTTTGTGTGTTCCCTATACCCATGAGAAATCAGTTTTCCCCTTTTCTCTGGGGACTACACCACGAGAATAGCAACTAGAAGTCTTAAAAAAGGTCATTGTCCCATGCACATCCATTTCTGAGTCCATTCTCCTGTGTGTGTGTGTTTGTAACAAGCGGCCAGCTTTCAGCTGACGTTATGCAGGCATCAGTGTGTGTGTGTGTGTGTGTGTCTCCCCCCCAGTTTCTTGGCTGAGTCTGACCATGTTCTAAAACTGTGAATCTACGAATCACTCAGCTCTATCATAAAAGCGGGATTACCGTACAGCCGAAATGTGTCAGGTTTATAAATTCTGGGCCAGATTTATTACATTTATTTTGACGTTACGTAATTTTCTGCAGTGTTTTCGGATTTTATTCTCCTCCAACAAAGATCTTGAGTGCCTCTCGAGCTGCTTCATCAGAATGAGGGAGTTAAAAACTGTCATGAGATGCTTAACAGAGCTCACACACACACACACACACACACACACACACACACACACACACAAACCAGTGTCTCTCCTCTCTAACCAGCTATGTCCCTTGCTTTGTGTTGGTGCCAGACACATCTGCACCTAAACACCCAACACACACTCACACTTCAAGCACAGCTCTCCCGCTACACACCCTGTCTCCTCTTACTATAAAGTCCTCCACTTAAACTTAACTGCGGCAAGCTGAAACAGCAGAAAGTTAAGTAAAAGGGAACTCTCGCACTTTGTAATCAGAGTAAACTTGCAAGTCAAGCTTTTTCTCCCACCCACCACCCCGCACCCGTTTTTGCGGCGCAGGATTCCAGAGGGAAACTACACGTTGCTCTGCTCTACGCTGCTCTGCGCTGCATGAGACTGGAATTTTACTGAAACTTAGACAACGGCATGTAAATCCATGCGCAGATGTACATGTAGCTGTGCTCACACGCATATAAATGCTTATATAGAAAGACACAACTTGCAAGTATACATGCAAATTTTGCAGGATTGGGAAATCTCAAAACTCAACACTGAAGTCTCCAAACTTTTAACAGGATAAAGACTTGGCCGTGTATTCAATGAACATGAGTCATTAAGTGGGCATGACTATCCACACTCCTTACAGTACAAAGAGGCTCCAAGTGGGTAAATGAACCCAGTGGGGCTCAGCTCTGTATGTTGAGCCTCATGGGGAACTGAATCATACCTAATCATACTAGTGTGAGTGCATTGTAAGTTATGGTGCATGGGACCACCAGCCGGTTACATAACAAAAGCAGCGAGGAAGCATCTAAAATTAGCAGCTGAATGTTTGCTTTGCTGCAGAATTTCTCTGCAATTTATCAGCGTCAGGGCGCAACAACCCTCCGAAAACTTGGCACAACTTCGGCAACATATTGGAGTTTGTAGTAGATAGAGAGCGCTTACGTCAGGACATTCTCAAATACTGAGCTGGAGCGAGATGCAGCTTAAATGTAATGAGTACAGTAATTCATTGCTTGGAGTTTTTCCATTCATATCTTCGCATGTTTGCAGTGTCATCATTTGTTCTGGAGACATCCAAACTGCAGATAATTCGATCAATGTCTGACACTGAACATGTGTTTCAATGTTGCGTTTGCCACAACTTCTATGTAAATGACTTACAATGAAGCACTTAGTCATGATAGGCATGCGCTGATAGTGGAATTGTAATGTTGAGAACTTACTGAGGGACAAAGGAAAAAGAAAAAGGGGGGATGTCACACTTGTAAAACCTTCAAAAAAGATTTGAAAAGAAGAAGAAATAATACTCTCACTGGTTTACACACTGTGCAACATAATAAGCATTCCACATGAAGATTAAAGTAATATTGTGCTTTTCCAAGCCTTCAGGGTTTCAGATTTTGTCACCAAAAACCAAACTGTGGTGCCAAACAATACTTGGCAAAAAAACAAAAAAACAGAAAAGAAGAAAAGTCCTCTTGAATATTGCATCAGGAAGGATTTGGGATTTGCTGCTGCTTTGAGAGGAGAAATCTTTTGTAGGTAGGCAGATCTGGGGCACTTTGGTACAATATGAAGGGTTCAGTCCTACCTGTGCAGGGAGAGAATCTGGCCCAGGCTTGTCCACTAGGACCTGCAGATCTCCGGTTGGTCCCGCGTCCCCGGCTCCTAATCCTGTCATGAGCGCTGTGTCGAAGCCAAGAAAATCTGCCTGGCTGCCTATAAACTTAGAGCCTGGAGTGAGGGACGAGCGACTGGCTGCTTCTCCAATCTCTTGCTCTCTCTCTCTCTCTCTCTCTCTCTCTCTCTCTCTCTCTCTCTCTCTCTGGCGGGCTGTGCTGAGTGATTGACTACTGCCTCATACAAGCTGCCTCTCTCTCCTTTTTTCTCAGTCCTTTGCTTTTCACCCACTCAGCTGGATCGCACTGACAATGCGAGGAGTTTGAGAGCGAGAGTGAGTAAGGCTGATTCTCAAAGGAGCCACAAGTCTGTGTCTGGTTTAGCATTACACACACAAACACACACGTGTAGGACGGCTGCAAACCCTGCACTGGTCCCCCACTTCTGTTAAACTAATGGACTTCCTCCAGGATCTGCTGCTAACTGGCCTATTAGACTGAAACAGAGAAGGAGAGATTGGGCGTCTGGGTGGCAAAACACTCACCCACCTGGTTGTGTGTGTGTGTGTGTGTGTGTGGTGTCACGCTCCGAGCCTAGGAAATGGAAATCTTATCAGGTTTATTCCAAAACAGCCTCAGTCCACATCCAACATCTGCCTTTGATCGCGGCCTCAGAGGGTGATCTCTTCTTTGTTATTAGGCCTCGAATGATGTTACCCTGCATGTTGGAGGCAACACTTTGGGTTTTCTAAACAGTTTGCAACCCATCATCTGGACTGCATCACTTCACAGTAGTGCAGAGGTGGAACTGACCATGAATACAGTGTTGTGGTTTGGCCTGCTACTTTTTAGCCATGCTAACAGCTAGGGCTGCCCCCTTTGTAGTCGAACAAATGTTAGTCAACCAGAAAGGTCATTAGTCAGCGAAATTTCATTGGTCGCCGAGTTGCAGAGAAAAAAAAAGAAGAAAAATGTGAAATGCTATTTGAAGCTGCGCCTTGTCAATAAAAATCAAAACCTGTATGACTGGACCATGTGGGAATTTCATTTGAAAGGACAGACACAGGAAGAGGCCACACTCAGCAGTCAGACAGGAGTCAGGTTACAAACAGATCACAGCCGACGTATATCTTTCCCTTCTTCTGTAAATATTCCGTCTGATAAATATGGAAAAGTTGATCATGTTAGTGCAGGGCTACCCAGAGCTTTACATCTGTCCCATGGATGATAGGCCTACACACTGATAAATGGCGCCTGGAAGAAGATCAGCTCTGCACTCAGGATTTCAGGTAAATAGCAACCGCAGATGTAACCTGCCAGTGCACTCTTGAAAGTTGGCACAGAAAAGGCACGAGAGTAGCCTTGTGTGACCTTGTGTTTTCCAGGTGGTTAAAGATGATGTACGGCCCCTGATTTTCAGGGCTGGTACCTGCGGTTATTCCACAGGCTAGTTAATAACATGTCGGGCAGGAAATCCAAAGTGTGGGATCATTTTGAGAAGGTGAAGGACAAACCCAAGGTGATATGTAAACTCATCTTCATTGGTCGACTACAAACATGACGTATCATCTGAAACATGGAAGTAGCTACATGCCCATTAGCCCACAGCGTCATTAACAGGCGGCTCGCTCAGTGTGTGACGTGCACTTGTAGATAAAATATAGGCCTATATTAATGAAAGTTCAATAGTACGGTTTTGTATTTCTCTGTAATGTAGCACAGTGTTAACAATGTTACTGATACTATTCTTTCTCACACCTTCAACTCAAACCATTGTGTTGCCCCGCCCAAAATATATCATTTAATAATTACATTAATATTGTAAACATGCAGCAAAACTAGTCAACTAAAGGCCCTAAATGATGACTATTGGTAGACTAAAAATATTCTTAGTTGGGGGGGCAGTCCTACTAGCAGCACTTTCCACCTTGGTCTAAACTGAAATATCTAAGTAACTACCAAATGGATGATACTTTATAAGGGCATTCATGGTTACCAGAGGATGAATCTTAGTGACTTTGGTGCCCCCCTGCCTTTTCTCTAGCACCATCAGGAGGACATCATTTTTATTTTATCGAATTCAAAAGCCATTTATTTGGCAAAGTTGGTTGGTTTCACTATAACACATGCCATAAGACATACAAAAAAATGTGCTTTCGCAACACATTCTCACTCTGACCTTGTCACATATTTGGTCATGGACCTTCTATGTCCTGATACAACATGAAAGGTACCCTGGGTGTGTCGCTTGTTGACGTTCTGGGACACCGTGTCAAGTTCTGCATGTTACATGCATTGTCTTTTTTCAAAATACACTTCTGTTTTCAGAGAAAATTTACTGTTTAAATACAGTCGCTTTCAAAATAACGTAACGTAACTGTAACGGCCAAATGTGACGTAGCTGTGTGTCTTTGCATACACATGTCCTGCCGATGTAGTTTTCAATAATCCACTCGACGTCCATGTAAAGTTGGAAAAAACGAAACACTTTTATTCCACAAGTGTCACAAAAAACTATCCACAGAATTGGCCTTTCTTAATGAAAACTATACAGGACAGGACACGGTATGAAAACCGTGTGTCTCTACAGCTACTCTAGGGTCCACTAATTTCCCAGCTCGACAGCCCACCGAGAAGCCCGTGTGTGAGGCTGCTGTCTCTTAAAGCTACAGTACCCAAGTTTCAAAACTCACTGAAATAGCTAATTCTAGACAGAAAGGATTAACAAATAATCAAATTCAATGAAACATACTTACTTATACATGACACTTAGGCCATTACTGAACTTCCAAACTCAAAGCTTCAATATAAAATGTATATGTTAGAATAATGTAAGGAAAAAATAAGAAAATCAGCAAACTTAACCTTGCCTCATACAACGTCAGTGCAACAACATGAATTGACCTTATTTTCCTCCAACAACTAACATACGTGGTTAGGTTCAAGCAACAAAAACACAAGGTTGGGTTTAGGAAAAAAGAACAGGGTTTGGCTTTATAATCTTAGGGGATGCGAACATGGCTCTTCTGGGTCAAAGTTGGTGTTTGTTGTCAGAGTTTAAGTCTTTCTAATTTTTTTAAGCCAAGTCTAAATGTCAAGTCAAATTTGTGACTTACCTGTAGTGTAATTAGTCTAGATTGTTTTGGTCAGAGTTGTGGAGTGTTGGAGATATCGACCATAGAGAAGAAGGAAGCGTGCATCTACTCATGAACAAGAGACTCATGCTTGTGACTGTTCACAACAAGGTCTGTGTATTATCTTGAGTGACTGAGTCATGATTCTGGAAGGAGACATTGCTGTTGAGTTTTTCAGTTGTACCTTTTTGGCACTTTGAGCACCACAAGCTGAGTGCCTTCTAGTTCCATTATATTTAAGAGAAGGCAGTGAATTGTTCCATTCATCTTAAAAAAAACTTCCCGTAACTCTGCTGCATAACACGAGACTACAGACACATCACTTTCATGCTGTCTGATTTCTTTGACTTTCTGTGATAAATCATGTGTGAGCCTCCAGTGTCCTGGTGTCTTTAAATTATGTCTAATTGTTTTTCACTGTAGTACATCACTATATTTACTTCTGAAGCAGTGAAGATTCCCACAGTGGCTCAACACTCTCTACCATTTGTTGCTAACACAAACCAGTTGGCCTCTCTGACACAAAACAGCTCCCACACAAATAGTTTCATCTACTAGTAAGGGGCATTCTGTGTAATTTTGTGGAGCCAGAGGACAGTAATCCCAGCTAATCAACATACTGCTGCTCACTCTGTCCTTCTCCTCTCCTCTCTTCCCTTCTCTTCTCTTCTCTTCTCTGGATCAACACTGAGTCAAACAGCTCCATATTAGGACCACCACTCCGCACTGGCTTAAATAGATTGTTTACTGCCAAACACTTCGAACAGCTTGAGGGCACTTACACCAGAACAACTGTTTTAAGTATGAAGGGAGGAGCTGGGTTGGAGACCTGAGGCGCTTTGCTGCTAAAGCCATAAAACAGTCAACCTGTCTGCTTAGCAGTGGACATCGGACGTACAGTAAGCCTCCACATTTAAACATGCTAGCGCCTACTGTACACACACGTGTGCAAAAGTATGCATGCATACCGGGACACTCTTTACAAGATAGGCACAAACTAACATCCATATAAGCTGCATTATGCACTTCCTCTATCAAACCTAACTTCATGCATGTGCCCGAGTGTGTGTTTGTGTGTACGTTCATACCCAGGGATGAACGTTGTGTGCCAGGCCAGCTGTGGTGCCAGCGGGGAGATGAAGGATGTGCACCTTGTTAAAATGCTTCAGACACATTCTTCAAAGAGCCAGGTTGACTTTTGAACCCAATGCATCCCTTTCAGACATGTTTATAGCCTCTGTGTACTACATAAATGTCTAAATAAATCTCTGATGAGACCTCAGTGCGTGGACATGTCTAATTTTGTCAAGAAAGGTAGTTTTAGGGCATCTTTATCCTTTGTGGTATCTTCAAAAAAAAACACTATCTATGCTAGATAATATCAAAAAACAAAGCTTGCAGACTCTGAAGTTTCAAGTCTCTGCTAATGAAGTCTAAATGAATGGAAACCAAGGGCTCCCTGGGAGGTAGGAAATCCATCTAAATGCCATTATAATTTATTTTAATTGTATACTTTGGAGACAGGTTGACAGTTATGTAACGTAAACATGAAAAACTGCCTTCTAATTAGGCTAAGATTGCATTTCCTTCATATCCAGCCCTCGCCACAGGGAAAACATGTTGCAAATGGTGGCTGCAATGCTTTCCTGCCCCAAATCCTGATGGAAAAAAATGCATTCTTCTTCACTGATTTCGTCTCTAGTTTACAAACTAGGGTGACCATATTTTGATTTCCAAAAAAGAGGACACTCGACCGGCCACGACCCAGCCTACTTAAATGATACTCACAGTTTACTCAAAGATGCCTTCTAATTTTAATATATTTAAAATTTATATGTATGGATAGAAAATTCAGTTATATTACAAAATAATATCTCTCAAAGACAGAAATTCAGATTCAGGCCCAGGGGACACATAGGCTACACAGACTAGAGTGTGGCGATCTGAGCCCGACGGGTTCCGACAGGTCGGGCCGGGTTTGGTCAAAAATGTATAAATTGTATTCGGGCTCAGGTCGGATTCGGTCAGCTTTCAGTGAAAATGTAGTGTAAAAATAAATAAAATCCTATTGTCTGTCGTGTTTATTGCTTGGGCACTGTTATTTACGTGACAACACCTGAACATAACACACACAGACACACATTGGCTGTTTGTTT